CTCCATCCGGGGGGCTGCCCGCCCTCCATCCCCTGATGCTGCCCTCTCCATCCCGGGGGGTCTGCTCTTCATCCCTGCCCCGGCGCTGCCCCCTCCATGCCGCGGGTCTGCCCACTCTCAACCCCCCCAGTGCTGCCCTCTCCATCCCGGGGCTCAGTCAGTGCCTCCACATCCCCCTTTGCTGCCCTCAACATTCCGGGGAGGGTCTGGACCAATGCCCTACCCCCCGTATTGTGGGGTAACAGCAAAATGGGCTGGGAAATCTGGCTAGAGAGAAGGGATGCAGGTGTGAGGGCAGGGCAGGTGGGCCCGGGGTAGTTGGAGCTGGATAGAACCCCTGGGAAGAATGTGTCATGGTGGAAGGGAGCTCACTGCAGGCAGGGGTGTCCATGCCTGTGGGCTCCCACACCTGCCTCCTGCCAGGAGAACCTGCCCAGAGCCGACCCGAGGTCCTGCCTACTGCCCACACTCTCCTGGGTGCCCGACCCTACAGAGATCCACTGTCCTGGGGTGCTCAGGGACCTCCTGGCACTACCCATTCAGGGCTCAGGAGCACAGACACCCCCAAAGACATGCACAGTCACCCCAGAAACCCTGCCCACTCCCCAATTTTGTCTGCCCAGGGCACCCATCGTGCTGCACTGGGAGGACGGAAAGGACATCTGCCTTTTGTTCCCTTCCTCCTCCATCCTCAGGAGGCTCCAGCATTGAGCAGCCACCAGCTTGAGCTCTGTTCCTGCACCAGTCTCCCATCTCACCACCTCTCACCTTCAGAGGGAAGCACTGGGTTGATGCTCTTCACAGCCAGGGCCTGAGCCAAATACACCTCAGGGGAACCTGAGGCAGGAGGGAGTCTGAGTCCTCCCTGAATCTGGTTTCATAGTCTTTGAGGTCAGCAGGTCTTAGGGAATGGCTCAGGGCAGGATCTGGTCCATAAGGACATCCTTTAGGCACAGCTTCAAAGATGGGATACATTTGGGGGTTCCAGACAGTGTCACTGGGATGATCATCCCTAGGGACTCTGCCAGTGCAAGCAGCACCTCTACCCTGCACCAGGGTGAAGCCACATGGAAAGGATGGAGAGGACCAGGGCAATGGCAATGGCAATGCCAGCCGGGCTCATGGCTCAGGCAGATGCCTCTAAAAGCGAGATGAGTCCTCCACAAAGCTGCCCCAGGAGCAGAGTGGATTCCCCTTCCTAGGAGTTTTCAGGGATTTCTGGTCCCATTCACCCCTCACCTGCCTGGAGGAACACAAGAGTGAATGACCAGCTCTCTGAATCCTCCTCCTGGCAAACATGGTGTGATGACCCGCCCTTAAGGTTCGACACACACAGGGAACTAGGAAAACCAACGAAGGGATTTCATTCCTTATGAAGCTTGTTTCAAGCTTCTCCCATTTAATCCCGGGAAGCCTGTCTGACCCCAGGAAGCCCGGCTGCCCCCGCCACAGCTGCCTGCATACATGTCCCCAGCTGGAGGGCAGGTCTCTGGGACACCCACGCGTGTGATGGTATCAAAGACGCTGGGAGCAGGCTTCAGGCAGTCTTTGCCTGTCCAGGCACTGAACTCCCCTCGCTGTGCCCTGCCTGCTCCTCCTGCAGCCTGGCTGCCTGCTGCCGTGTCCCCCGGGCAGGTCCTGGTCACCTGCGAGCAGGAAGCATCCGTGAAAGTCACCAGGAGATGCTTTTGTCGGTGCATGCTGCCACATCCCGCCCCGAGGTGTCTCCATCCCCAGGAGGTTTCCCTTCCCTCTCCCCAGCAGCGGCTGCTGCTGCTCTGAGCCTCTCCAGCGCTCACGTTTCACTAGCCATAAAAGTGTCTGGAGAGGGAGCGGGAGCGGGAGCAGCCTGGCGAGGGGAGGGAGCGGCGTCTGTCCCTGCCACTGCTGCTGACCCTGTCCCACCGCTGCTGGTCCCCTTGTGGTGATCCGGACCTGGCCTCCCCCCATCCTGCCCTGAGAGGCTGGAGACATGCCCGAAATGGATCAAAGAGCCATGGAAACGAGCCAGCAGTGATTCCCTGGCGGCAAACAGGCAGTGGGGTGTCCATCGCAGGGGGCTGGCAAACGTGGTGCAGGGACCATGGACCAGCTCGTGGGGACTTGGAACAGTGGGGTCACAGTGGCTGTTTGGGAACCAGAGCTGAGCACTCCCTTCCCCACTCTGGCTCGTACCCATCCAGCCTGGAGACTCCTGCAGCTCCATTTCAGAGTTCAGCACAGCCTTTGCTCTCTGACCCACACTGCCTCTGCGGGCACCCCCCTTCTACCCAGACCCCAACATGGCCATAACCACGATGGCTTTGGCTGGGAGCAGGTGCAGCCCACACTGAGCCCTGTAGCCCCTTCCCGGGAAGGCTGCTTTTCATCTTAGTGCCTCTTTTCTTTTCCTCCTGCATCCCAAATGCCTCAAGCCACCGGTGACCCCAGTGCTGCCATACTCATGCCACGGCTCCACTCAGCCCCAGGGCACTTTGATGCCCGGTGGGTCAAGTGTTTCTTGCAGCAGCCCCTCAGGCTTCCCGTCCATCCCAGTGCCAGCTGGCCCTGCCGCGGGATTAGGCGGGAGCATGCGAGGAAAGCACCGAACATCTCTCCGGATCAAACGCCCACGGGGCAGTGGGGAGGGGGAATAATTCACCCCCCCCCTCCATTCAAAACCAGCTCGGGGCTGCCCGGAGCTGGGATGAGCCTGCAGCCAGCGCTCAGTGGCAGTGGGAGGGAGGCGATCGGGGAAGTCAGTCAGGTGTGGACGAGGTATGAGGGGAGGCAGGGATGGAGCCGCACTCGTGACAGCGGTGCCGAGCGCTCACGCGCATCCCTCCTCCCGCCGAGATGCAGCAGGGCCGGCCATCCCTCTGCTGCGTCTCCACCATCCGCAGCTCGCAGGGACCACCCGAGCCAGGTGAGGGGTCTCCAGGGAGCGGCTGGGGGGTGCAGGGCATGGCTGGGGAGCGGCAGGGTCAGCGAGTCTGGTGGGAGATGCTGCATGTACATCCCTGGCCGGCGGGCACAGCCTCCGGCTTGGCAGAGGAGCAGAGGGGATGGCGGGTGGCTGAGTGCTCTTGGGAATGCTGTGGTTACTCCCTGTGCAGGGCATGGGAGTAACCTGTGTTGGATGTCACCCCGCATGTCCCCAGCCCAGGGCTGCCCTGCCATGGGGCTCCTCTGTCCCCATCCTTCCCTTGCTCCAAAACATTCCCTGCTCAGCACCACCTTACCCTCACCCATGTCAAATGCTGCCAGGTGATGGGAAAGTTGGGACCCGAGGGCTGGACTGGGGGAGACAAAGCTGTGGAGGAGCTGCCAGAGGAGCTGCCAGAGCCTCTGGCTCCAGGGCAGTCACTGCCCGCCCCAATGGGGAGCTCTGCCGACGATGCTCCCTGCCCTGCCTTTCTTCTTGGCTTGTTGTTCCCTTTGTCTTTCACCCCTCTTTCTCATCTGCTCCCTCATCTCCTCACTCCTCCTCTCTCACCTCTAGCTGTGTTTGCTGGAGGAGCGGAGATGCCCATGTCCTGCTGCTAGAGGCAGATGCTCCACAGATCCCTATGGATATGGGTCCTGCTGATGGCCAGAGCCCCCTTTCCTCTGCTCCCTACAGCGAGTCCTGGGGAAGCTCTGGCACAGCCAAAAGAAGCTCTGGCACCAGCCCCTCCAGACCGGCTGTGTCCATATCTGCCGCAACAGCCGGTGGGATGGACAGTTTCCAGCTTGGGGGTATCCCAGAGTGGCTGTGTCAGGTCTGGGTGCTCGGGATGCTGGGGACAGGACAGCCAGTGGCATGGAGAGAGCATCGGGCACCCTTGGCTGGAGGGAGCACAGCCTGGTGTAGACTTTGCCCACCAGGTTCAGGGTGTCTGGGGCTTTCGGAAGCCATCAGAGACATCCCCATGCTTTGAGACAGACACAGAGACCACCCCTGCCAGTCCTGCCTCTGCTCCCCACCGAGCCTCTCTGTGGATCTTGCTTCAGCATGGTTTCCATGCAATTGCTTCCCCAGCCATCGGACAGGTTCCCTGCCTCAGTTTCCCCATGGCAATGCTTGTCACTCGGTGTGTTTGAGAAGCAACATTGTGTGATATGATCTGGGTATCCTGGGACACATGGGCAACTCTTTTTTTTTTATTTTGACTTTTTTTTGCCAGCTGTTCTCTTACATGAAAGTATGCTCGAGCTGTCCTTTTGAAACCTCTTCCCTCTTAAAACCCACTAATTAGGAAAATGAGCTGCATCAGCGTTTCTCCAGCATTTTTGCTCTCCCAGGGTGGGTTATCCCAAAGGTGGATCTCCTTCAGATGCTGCTCTGCTCTTGGAGGTGGTTTGTGACTTGTCCAGCTCCCCGTGGTGGGAGCAGGTGAGCTGGGGGATGCTCTGGTCTTTGCTTCTGCGGATCAGAGCTGCTTATGTCAAGCCGTCTGGCTTTTATCTGGAGCAGACAGAGCGTGAGCCCCTAATACCCACTCACCCCTCCTCCCACAGCAGCCAGATCCCTTCACCCCCCTCCAAAGGAAAGGTTTGCATCCTCATTGTAACCCCAATACCTCCAGCTTGTTATAACAGAAGGAATTGGACTTCGAGGATCCTTGTGGGTCCCTTCCAAATCAGGATATTTTGTGAATAAGGGACAAAAAGTACTCGTGTGTAAATGGCTCTTTGTGGTCATCACTGATGTGCTGGCACATTTGACCATCCCTGGAGTGCCCAGTAGCCATCCCCTTTCCCATCGTGCTGCCCAGGGTGGGTTTCACTGCTCCCCTTCCCTCAGTGGTGGCAGTTTGCTCTCAGCCTGGTCCATGGAAAGTGGCCCCCTCCCAGTTCCTGTCCCAGCAGCATGGCAGTGACGAGCAGGAGGTTCTAACCACGTGTTGGGATCAGCTGCAGGCCCCATGTCTGCTCAGCTGGCGGGTGTCAAAACAAGTGTCGCTTGTGAGGGGTTTGTGTGGGCAAACATCTTGTCGGGTGCCTGCTGGATCCTGGTGCCAGCTGGCGGGTTCCTAGGCTGGTGGGTTTTCTCCCTGGCAATGGGAAAGGAAGGCAGGAATGGGGGGAATTTGGAGGAGGAGGCCACAGCCTGAGTTTAGCAGGTCCTGTGGGGCAGAAGAGGCATTTTTGGGTGCCCAAGCACTGGGTGGACGGTCACCGTGGCCATCTCTCATCCCCCTTCCCTCCGCAGCCGCTGCCGCCGCCACCGCCCACTTCAGCTTCTGCCGCAGCCTCCTGGAGCACACGGTGTCGGCCGAAAACCTCAGCTACCGCCTGCAGCGGAACCCGGGCAGCAGCCTCACCTGGCACGACGGCCGGAGCCAGCGCCCCGACGGCGGCCGCACCGTCAAACTCCTGCGCCAGCCGGGCACCGAGGGCTCGCAGGTACCGCCGGGATCCCACCCCGGGCGTGCCAAGGGGAACTCAGCTCCTCACGTCCACCGGCCCAGAGACTGCCCGCGGGAGCATCTCCTCTTTCCCTGCGGGATCAGGCCTTCAGATCCCACTTTGCTGAAAGCCCTTGTGATTATCGGGCATTTGATTATAGTAATATACATAAATATAATAATTTAAGTATGGTCATCAGGCTGAGGGCTGTGCTGGGGTGAGCTCTGTGTGTCACCTCCCCTCTGTGTGTCACCTCCCCTCTGTGCATCACCTCCCCCCCACAGCTGTAGCTGGGACTTAATTTTGCAGTAAATGTGCCAGAACCAAATTCTTTATAATGCCTTAAAATGCCTGAGCGTTTGTGTATGTCTCCTAGCCATGTTTGGGCCATTGTCCTCCTAAACTTTGGAACTTCATTGTATTAAGGAGGCTGTGAGCCAAAGGCTTCCATCCATTCACTGCTGTACAGCCACAGGAAGGAGCATCTTCCCTGCATGTGGCTCCTGGTGCTTTCCAGCACCCCCATAACACCCTGGAGTGGTGTTTAGAGGCAGCACATCCAGCCAGTGACTGCTAAAAAGAAAATGGGGAAAATCCAACTGCCAGGCTTCCAGCCCCCAACATGGAAATGCTTTTTCATTGCGTGGGCCCAGCTGGTTTGGGATCAGAGGGGAGCAGGGACCCTGCAATGGATACAATGTCCCACGTGCTGGTGGCACTGTCCCCATCACCTCCAGATGCCCAGGTGGCTCCTGCAGGGGGACACTCCAGCTGTTCTCCAGCTGCCCTCCAGCTGCCAGCTGTGCTCATCATGGCTCTCCCTCCTCCACTTCTGTGTGCCGACCAGATGGATTTAGGGAGAGAAAGGTTTTTAATTTGCTGTAAGGAAGGAAACATTCCCGAGCAAAAGGAGGTGATGCAAATTGTTCCTTGCAGATCCCAGGAATGGCTTCCAACCCCCCTCCGGCTTCCTCAGCCACCTCCTGCCTCCCCACCAGAGCAGCCTCCCAGCCCTCCTGGCTGCTCTCCTCCACACCGGTGCTCGATATTCATGGCTGAGAGTTTATCAGAGAGACAGCGCAGCTCAGCCGGCTGGAAAACGAACCCACGATCCTTTACACCTTCCCTGCCTCTCTGGGGAGTGCAGGACTCCCTTGGGGACCCTCCATGGGGAGGGGAGGATGAGCCCCAAGCAGGCAGCGCAGGATTTAGGGATGCCGGGATGGTCCCCGGCGCAGGGCTGTGTCTGATGAGCGAAGCGCGTGCGGCCGTGTGCGTGCCCAGGGAAATTGCCAGTTGTTTGTCACCTCTTCCCCCATGCCTCAGAGGGTTAGTTGGATAATGGCTGTGGGAAGCTCGCAGTAAGCTCCCGGGAAGCTTGTTGTTATTCCCCCCAGCCCCTCCGCTTCTCATCATTACTCGTTAGTGAATCCAGAGCGAATCGCCGCCTCCTCCTCCTCCCCACGGCACGCTCTCCGGCGCGCTCAGCCGAGTGTGAAGGAGCCGCGCAGCCGGCGCGGGCTGGGGCTGCTCCCGCAGGCAGGCGACTCCCGGGATGCGTCTGGGAGAGCCGGGCAGCTGCCGGGGTCTCCCTCAAAGGTGAGGGTTTGGTTAGGAAACCGAATTGTGTGCACTGTCTATCGCATTTTTCCATCTGCTTTGGAGATGGACTCCTTGGTTATTAATGTACAGCCTCCGAACTTTGCCTTCTTCCCTCTTGCTTGAATGTTCCCAGCGAGCTCTGCTTGAGGAAAAGCGCCTTTCCAAGCCCAAACGCATCCCTGGGCACAAGTAGCAGCTCGACCAGGCTGGCCGGGCTCCTCAGTGGGAGCAATGCCTGGCAGGGGGCAGGGAACACATCCCAGCCCCTCCACTGCCCTCCACTGCCTCCTCTCCGGCATCTCTCAGGCACGTGTCATTAGTTTCAGTAACCGCGGGATGTCTGGAGTCCCTGTTGCACTAATTATCCCTGCTCCTTTATTAGACATGCTTAATTAGCCAGTGTTCTCACACAGAGGTCGATGTTGGCATACGCACTGACAACCTTTCCCGTGTCGGTGTGTCCCTGCATCAACTGCTGCTCCCGCCCTGCCCCTGCCGTGTCCTGGGCATGAGTGAGCCCTCCTAATCCAGTCCCTTTGTGATGTGGGCAGCAGGGACCCCTTTTCTACACTCACTTGCCCATGATCCAGCCCAGGACAGTCCCTGCAGTTGGGCACAAGGAGATGCTTTGGAGCAGCGATGTTTGCTGGTGCTGCTCCAGGATGAAGTCTCAGCATCACCAGCAGCAGAGAGCTCACCAATCTTTCCTGGGTGCTAAAACCAGGGAAGAGGAGATTCCTGCATCCTCCAGACCCATTTTCCAAACAACCTTGAGGATTCCCTGGGAGAAGCAGGCTTGTTTCCCTGTGCAGTTACAGCTCAAGACAATTGGATTGCTTTGTACAAGACAAATCACGAGGCCAGAGTAGCTGTGATGTGGGAGAGGAAACAGAGCTACTTTGTGGCTCAGGGTGAGACTGAGTGGCTCACAATGAGAGTGGCCACTGCAGCAGGCAGCTGGAGGAAGGCAGGGAAGGTGGGATTTAGGGATGCTGTCAGACGAGCCTTGTCTCCCTGTGGGTATCACTCGTTACTGTGCGTGGCAGAGCTCTGCAGGAGGGGGAGAGTGGCCATGATGGTGTGCTGAGGACTGTGACCCTGCTTTATCCCGGGTGTCTCCGGGCAGGGCGGCACCTCAAGAATGGGCTGTGGGGTTCAGAAGCGGCTTTAGACACCTGAGAGGCTGCAGGACCTCATTGTGGCTGATCAGTTCAGGACTGGAGGGGGTTGAGATGGAGAGAAAGGGAGAGTCCCTCCTGTTCCAGGGTACCAGCTGGCTGCTGGCTGCTTTCCCGGGGATTTCTGGTGGGCATGAATTTGCACCAGTACCAACATCTGCTGGGGATGGCTTTGCACCAGTTCCTGCTGTCCCCCAGAACCTCACTGGCTCCATCCCCACTGAGAGCTGCCAGCAAGTGCCTTTCTCTACCTGGTGAGGAGGGGACCCTGGGGGCCCCCCAGGACATCTCCTGACCCTGTACAATGATCTCTTGGGCTGGGAGATGTGTAGGGGAGCTGGACTGAGTCTCTTGTCTGCAGCAGGAGGGATGGGGAATTTCAGATGTGGGGTCTATATAGGGTAGGACCCCAACTCAACCTCCCATCCTCCCTCCCATCACCTCCCTCACTGGTTCCTCCAACACTGCAATGTCAGGGTGATCCCAGAGACTCCAGAGGGTGCAGAACTGAAGTCTGCCAGCATCACCACAATCCTGCACAGCCAACCAGCCTTTCCCCATCCCCATGGACTGACAGCCATTTTCCTCCTCGCAGTGTTGAATCCCACTAACCCCCTTCCCTCACACTCCCCTCAGGGCCGTGGCTGTGACCACTATGGCATCTACCACACCAGCCCCACGCTGGGCAGCCTGGTCAAGCCGGTGGTGCTCTGGACCCAGCAGGATGTGTGCAAATGGCTGAAGAAACACTGCCCACACAACTATCTCATCTACGTCGAGGCTTTCTCCCACCACGCCATCACAGGTACGGTGTGTCCTTCATTTCTCAGCTGGACTAATTTCCATTAGAACATGCTCCTGGGAAATGGCTGTTTGGAGGTTCATGGTTCAGAAAATGGATATTCTGCCCATTTCTCCCCACGAGATGCAGTCAGCGTGAGAGCAGGGGATACAGGGACACTGATCCGGGCTGGGCAGGAGGCATCTGCCCCTGGTGTGAGCTCCAGGATGGGCTGGAAGTTGTTTAAAAGGAGGATAAATTGGTTTATAAGACGGAGAAGTCTCTTCTCCTCACCTACATTAATATAATAATATTTTTATAGTTTTTTAAATACTGAAAATTTCTGCAGAAGAGGAAAAGCTCTGCCTAGTAAGAGTACAAGTTGCAGATGCCTTTGTCCAGGTCTGAATCCAACTCCCAATCAAGTCCTTGGAGATGACCCACTTCTCAGACCTGCTCCCTCCTCTTTGCTCCCTGAGGACAGTGGCTTTGACCTCTGTGTTAGAGGGCAGAGCTCTGCCAGGTCCAGGGGACAGCGGCAGGGAGAGGAGCACCGGAGCTGCCCGGGAGGGATGCACAGCCCTAATGCAAGAGCTCAGCCAGCCCTTGCCTGGGTAACAAAGGCAGCATTAGTGAGTGTACGCCGGGAAGCAAGGACAAAAGCTGGTTTTAAATCCCTTGTCTAATAGCCCCCAGACTGGAGGAGAGTGGCTCGGCGGGGACTGGAGTGCTAATGCGTTGTGATGGGCACCCCCATTCCCCCGGGATGACCAGCCCTTGTGGGGACCCTGAGCTCGAAAAACATCTCCTCATGTGGGAGGTGGAGCGGAGAAATGGAAAGCTGCTGCCTGCAGGGGTGGGTTACACGATTGTGGTGGCAGTACCTGTCGGAGACTGGGG